TACACCTCTGCCAACCCTTGTCGATTACTGGTTTTGATATGGTCGAGCACCGGTCCGGCATAGTCCCACCCATAGACAAGGTCAAACTGTGCTCCTGCGCTTGCCAGGCTCTTGGCCATGCCTGCAGGTGGACTCCATGTCTGAAGATTGCGAGCGACCATGTTGCACACGGGCCGTGACAGTGCCGCGCCCCATCCCAGTTGCGCAAACCATGGCCGTAGGCGCTTTCGCTCGTTGCCATGTCCTGTTGGGATACCGAGATAGATGCTCGGAAGACGAGATCCTAGTTGAAATCTCTTGACGCCCTCCTTCTGTAGTAGAGTTCGTGTCGCTCTGTTATGTAGCGAATGTCCAATTGAGAGCTTCCTCCTTGCCGGATCCACAAACAATGCGCCAATGACTCCAGTCCCCGTGGCTTTGAAGAAGTATGTTGAGCAGAACCCGTATAGTGCTTGGGTACTGCTGTTTCGGACGACAAAATGTGATTCCTCCACCTCTGGGTGGTGTAGAATGAACGAGCTTGATGTTGCGCTCGAAAGCTCAGATCGTTGGTTTGGCGCGGTGCTTTCCACAATGGCTGCAATCAGCGTATCCAACGCACTGCCGTCTCGTTCTTCGTTGAAGATCTCAACCAGCCAGTGCTGTTTCGACGGATGTAGTTTTTGGCTCTTGCTAATCGTACCAGGCAGTGTTCCCGAGGGCGATAATTCTCCGTACAAGACTCGTACCAGCGAGTTTAAAGCAGTCTCAGTGTAATCATAGGTACAGATATACGTCCCAATCGTGTTATCCATGGCAAAGTCGTACGGTGAACTTACAGCAACCACAATCAGAGGCTTCTCACGTCTCTCTCCGCCAGTCGTGTATTGCATGTTACAAATCATAGAGACGTGTTTAGTGAATCCATGCTGATACAGGTTTCTATTGGCGTCTGCAGTGAGCACAATGATCGCGCTTGCTCGGCTGATGAGGTTCTCGTGAACTGGACGAACACCGTTTGCTGTGTACGACGTGTGCAACAGTCGTCCGTTACGCTGTCTTGCTAGAGAGCGACCCAGCTCCCTGAAAACCCGTTCTCCGCTCATAACGGACGAATTCTGGTCCCAGGAAGATGGCCCTGGAGAGTGACTGGCCGCACCATTGGCGGCATCAGATATGGCTCGCGATGCAGCCGATGCAGCCAAGGGCTTGAGCAAAGGTGTCAGTAAAAGGAGTTCCTCTTCGCTGTCGAGAATATTGGTCAATGGAAGAAGCCTGTTCTTGTCGCGCACGACTGTGATGGAGCTGTTGTATGCTTTTGTGGAGAGCGCAGTATGCAAAGGCTGGAGCTTTTCGAGATAGTTGATGCCTGGAGGGTTCAGCGCCTTCTCCCATGATGTGCACTTCTTCTTCATGGCTAGCACGCGCCTCAGCGAGTTGAAGATGCGTTCTTTCGAAACCATCTCGCTCTCAATGCCAGTCTTGAGGCCTTTTAGGCCTTCTAGTTGCAGCGAGAGGGCGCGACAAAGAAGGACCACGTCGCAGCCGGCGTTGACAGCCATGACGGTTCCACCGCCAACACCAATATTGTGACTGAGAGCATCCATCTCAAGACATTCTGAGACAACTACGCCGTCAAATTTCAGATCCTTGCGGAGTAGATCATCGACGACCTGCTCGGAGAGACAAGCGTGCATAGCATTTAGTCCGGCCGAAGACATGGCGCAACCACCGACCATCATAGAGTCAAGGCCTCTTTCGATCGCTTTCTTGAATGGGATCAAGGCACTCAAGCTCAGCTGCTCTAATGATTCAGTGATGATAGGCACGTCAAGTGTGGAGCCTAAGAACTCTAGGTTGCCGTAAGATGGAAAATGCTTTCCCAGTGTTACAACTCCGCCCTCTTTGTAGCCCTGCATGAACGCACACCCAAAGGCAGACACTTCCTGAGGGTCGTCCCCGGCTGTTCTGACACCCAGGGGCTGGTTACGTGCATTAGTAAGTACATCGAGACATGGGCCAAATATCCAGTTGATACCGCAGGCAGCGATTTCTTGTGCAGTTGCTTTTGCGACTTCAAATGCTAAGTCAGTGGATCCGGTCGCAGCCATACCCATGTTGCTGGGGTACTGGCGAATATAGATGTCGTCAAAGAGACTGTTGACTCCGCCATTTTCCTGGTCGATACCAATTGCCAGCGGAACAGGATGACCGGCATCATGGGCAATCTTTTGCAATTCAAAAATGAGTTTTGTTGTGTCTTCGGCGGCTGTGTTGTATCAGCAGGGGCTTGGCACGCAGAGAGAGAGAGGTCACATCAAAGCACGTGATATTACATTTGAGGTTTTTGGCAGTCAGCAGGATACAGCCAACGTGATGTTCCTCGATAAGGGTACGTATGTGGGGAGTCACCGACGTGCCATCGAAGCCCATCATGAACAACTGGCCCTGCATGGCCCGAAGTCAGCAAGTGCAGCCGCAAGGGCTGAGTGGAAACAGCCTACCATTGTTCTGCATGGTGAACAGTGGTTAGCAAGGGTCCTTGGGTGCGTAGCGCATGTCGAGAGTGAGAGCGTGCCATGATGCTCACCTGTCGAGATCATCCCATACAGGATCCATCTGTTCGATCTTGGCCATGATGGCAAGCAATATCCGGCGCGTCGCGTCGGAATGTGGATGCGACGTGGGATTCCGTGGCGCACCGGCTCTTGGGCGCGGCTGGCAAATGGAGTTTCGGTCGGTCGGTGGACAGAAAGATGGGGAAGATGGCACCGTAGCATTCACGTCGAGGTGAGCTGGGGTAAGTAGCTAGCGAGCCGCTAACTACAGGCCCATGCGCATAGTTACACCACCCTGGTCCCTCTGTTATCAACGACATGCAACTCCGATGACACCTCGCACAACCCCGTAGTCTTTCCGAAACTATCATGGTAAGACCGGTCAGGCTGGTGTAGTCATCGTCATGTTCCTTCGCTCCGTGTATCCACTCAGCGTGTGCAAACGGGCAGCGTGCGCATCACATGCGTCCATGTAGACTTTTCTCAAGGGCAACTTAGCCTGCTGTTGATGAACTAATGGCGTCACTGGCGAACAAGTGCTCGCGATAAAGTAGCAAGAGAGCCGCCATTTGCTTTGTGAAGGGTGTTGAGCCTGCTCAACCGCGCACAACTAGCCAATCCTTTGATCTTTGCTCCATTTTTCACTTGCCATGCCTTCGATCGCCCCCATGCCCTCTGCTTCTGCAGATCTGCATGAATCCTCTGGCGTCATCAAGTTCACCAACTGCTTGCTGGTCAGAGGAAATGCTCTCGTCGATGAAGACCTTTGGGTCAGCTCTACGAGCGGGAAGATCATCAATGGGCAGGAGCTGCTCTACGAACATCGAACTGCACCAGATGAGATTGTCGACCTGGGCGGCCGTATCCTTTGCCCAGGCCTGATAGATACACAGCTCAACGGAGCATATGGCTTTGACTTCTCCGTCATACCGGACGAGGGAACAGTGGCGTACGGAAAGGGAGTGCTTCAAGTCAACCGACGACTGGTATCGACGGGTGTCACATCATACCTGCCAACACTGACTTCGCAACCACCCGAAGTTTACCAAACAGCTCTACCGTTCCTGGGTCCATCTGGTACTGCCCGCGATGCATCCCTTGGCTCAGAATCGCTCGGCGCCCACTGCGAAGGGCCCTTTCTTAACCGCACTAAGAACGGCATCCACAACGCATCCCTCCTCTGCGAGCCCGAGAACGGCGTCCCTGACATGGAGACATGCTATGGCGCTAGTCATTTGCAATCGTCCTCATCTGTCAAGCTTGTAACGCTTGCGCCGGAACTTCGAGGTGCCCTGTCGTGCGTACAGCCACTGGCGGAACGTGGTATTGTCGTGTCTATTGGACATTCGGAAGCAACGTACGAAGAAGCAAAGGCGGGCGTCAGGGCGGGCGCAAGCATGATAACACACTTGTTCAACGCCATGCAGCCTTTGCACCACAGGAACCCGGGAATCTTTGGTCTTCTGGGCACGCCATCTTCTTCGATACAAAAGCCATACTTTGGCATCATCGCTGACGGCATCCATCTCCACCCCACGTCTATCAAGATTGCGTGGAACGCACATCCCGAAGGCCTCATACTCGTCACTGATGCTATGCGGCTAGCGGGCATGCCGGACGGGACATATGACTGGACAAACGGGTCGCGTATCATCAAACAAGGGTCTATGCTCACGCTCGAGGAGAATGGAAAGATTGCGGGAAGCAGCATCCAACTCATAGACTGCGTTACAAACTTTATCAACTGGACAGGGGCCAGTGTACCAGAGGCACTGAAAGCTGTCACCGAGACACCGGCAAGGATGTTGGGCGTGCAGGATGCGAAAGGGACGCTTAACGAAGGGGCTGATGCGGATCTGGTAGTTTTGGATCTCCAGGAAGGCCTTGGTACGGATAAGAAGTTTGCTGTGGAGCAAGTCTGGAAGTTTGGTAAGAAGGTTTTCGATAAAGCGGGGCATAGCTAAGGATGCTACTGCTTTGGGTCACGGCCATGTTTGTGTAAGGAGTGAACACATCTGCGTAGGCAACAGACACGCGCCCCATGACTGCATGTTTAAACATTTAGAAATTGATAGACTGCTGCTAGAGTTACATCATAAAGCACGATACCTGACGTTAATCAATCTATGAATTCAAGCTATTCATAAAACAAGAGCGTTGACTAGGGAAGAAGAAAGTTTCTGAAACTTGAAATCAATGCACGCTCGCTGGTACTTGGGGCTATGCAAATGCTACCTTGTACGCCGAAACAGAGAGTCAAGAGAGATGGATAACATAAGCTAGAAAGTACTCGGATGTAACAGGACCAACTTGACCACAAGAAATAACACACTGGAGCACTGAGTCGTGGAAACAAAGAGTGGGTGGGTATCTCGAAACGAAGCTGATCGGTGTGCTCGCTGTGTGCATGAAAAGGGGGTTAGTGGAGAGGTAGACAGACGACGAGGCAAGGCAGAGATACGATCAGCAGCACCTTCCACTCTTACTCTTTTGTGCCCGGTTGATGTCTTCTTCCCACTCTTGTTGGTGGCCAGTGGCACCGGGCGTAGTGGGAAAGCCTAGCCAGCTTCGCCTCTTATCGGCGGCGCCTAGGCGGAAACTACCATTAGCAGCGCCAGGATAATCAAAGTATCCCGTTACGTTGCCGTTGTTGTCGAGGGCTGGAGTGACACCGGCCATGGTCAGTTGTCTTTGCTCCTCTTCAAGCTTCTTCTGCTCCTGCTCAACCAACTTGCGAGTGATGACTCGGAAGACTTCATCCACGCCTTCGCCGTCCTTTGCGCTTATTTCGTGACAGCAGTCCCAGCCGAGGTCCTGTCCCCAGAAGCCACTAGACCTGTTGCTCTGAGGAGAAGCCATGGAGCCACTCTGGAATGTCGCAGGCACGGAGCCCCAGCCGTTTGGCTGAGCATTGTGCGGTTGTGCGGTCTGTGCGGGGTAGAGGTTCTCTGCAACATAGGCGATGCAGCGTTCAAAGGGGACCTTGCGCTTTGTGGGGTCTGCGGCGATGATGTCGGATTTTGTGCCTACTACGTGGAGGATGGCGTCGTCTCCAAGGTTCGTCTTGAGCTCCTTGAACCAGCGGCCCATTTCGTCAAAAGACTGAGGATCCGTGATGTCATAACACAGGACTGCCGCGTTTGCACCTGTGAGCGATATCAGCTTTAGTCCCTTTGTGTTTGTTTTGTTTTTTTCTTTTCTCTTTCCCTTCAAAATGAGGTTCGGTTGAGGGGAAGCAGCCGCGTACCTCTGTAGTATAGCTTGGATATGGAGCGGAAGCGTTCCTGGCCTGCCGTGTCCCATATCTGCAGACGGACGACGGTGGAGGTGTCGATGTCGACGACTCTCTTTGTTAGGAAGGAGGCGCCGACGGTCGACTGTGTCGTGGGCGGGGTGAAGGCGTTTTTGACGTAGCGGTGGACGAGCGAGGTTTTGCCCACGCCCTGGCTGCCGAGCACCACGATCTTAGCCTCGAGGCTGTTGGACATGGCGGACTGGCGAGGAGAGGCGAGAGGCAACGGACGGGGCCCGGGGGGAGTGTGACGGGGGTGGGGGTGGGTCAGCGGCAGACGGTGGGCCGGGCCAGGAGAGGCGAGTGAGGCTGCGGTGGTTGCGGTAGCAGGGCAAGTGGCATGGCGAGCAGAGCGTGTGCCGTCGTCGACAGAGGCAGAGGCGCGCAGAAGCAGCCTGGGGACATTTTAGGCCAGAGGGCCAGAGGGCCAGAGACAAATGACATATGGACCACACAGGCCTCCCGCACCGTTTGGCGCTTGCTTGTGCTTGTGCTTGCGGCCCTTGTCTTGGCTAACAGCACCATGTGACGGCCGCCGCTGGCCAATATGACGCGGGTGGGCAAACGAGACTGGCGGGCGATGGGAGACATTGGCTGGGTGTGACGGCCGCCGGGTGATGGTCACAAAGAGAAGGGGGAGGGCCCCGTCGCCTGTATTTGTGCTGTTGAGCGCAGTAAGGCAGTATTGGGGCATTAGGGCAAGTCGACAGTGGTGCGCGTCATGCCCAGCCCGCTGTGTCTTCCCCGCGTTTCGGCGCTGCGGCCAGAGGACGTCCTCCATGTACCGACATGCCCATGTACGTATACAGTAACTAGGTAAATACGCACATGCATGGATGCACACGTGCAGTGACGGTTGCGGTGTGTATGTGTACCTCCACAGTAAAAAAAAAAGGGGGACCGTGCCGGGGTGCTCGATACGAACCCGGTGCCGGACTGATGTTACGGGAACAGATGGACCGAGCTAGCAGGCCTGGTACTCGGAGACATGCGTTCATACACATACCCTCCACACATATTGCCGCTATTTGTCTACACCGCCGTCAGCACCCGTGGCTTTCCGTTCCCCCGACCAGCCCCCGTGCATGGACATAGGCTAGCTAATCTCCATATATTTTTCCCCGTCTCTGGGGAAGTCTTGACCTGCATCCACTGCCCAGTATGAACCACGATAGCAACAACACCCAGCGCAACAAGCTCACCGGCGAGCAGGTCTCGTCGCACAACAACAGTGACTCGTGCTGGGTCATTGTCCACGGCCGTGCCTACGATGTCACCGAATTCCTCCCTGAGCACCCCGGCGGCTCCAAGATCATCTTGAAGTATGCCGGCAAAGACGCCACCGAGGCCTACGAGCCAATTCACCCCCCCGACACGCTCGACAAGTATCTCGACAAGTCAAAGCACCTGGGCGAGGTCGACATGGCGACGGTGCAGCAAGAAGCAAAGGAATTCGATCCCGACGAGGAGGCGAGGCAGAAGCGCATTGAGCGTATGCCCATTCTCGAGCAATGCTACAACCTCATGGACTTTGAGGCCGTCGCCCGCAACGTCATGAAGAAGTCGGCATGGGCCTACTACTCGAGCGGTGCTGACGATGAGATTGTGAGTCTGCTCGACGCCTTTGCCAGCCCGGAGATCGACTGACCCAATCCTTGCACAGACGATGCGCGAGAACCACAGCGCATTCCACAAGATCTGGTTCCGACCACGCGTCCTCGTAGACGTTGAGAAGGTCGACATCTCCACCACCATGCTCGGCACAAAGTGCGACATACCCTTTTACGTCACCGCCACCGCACTCGGGAAGCTCGGTAACCCAGAGGGAGAGGTTGTCCTCACGCGCGGCGCACACAAGCACAATGTGATCCAGATGATTCCTACACTGGCATCGTGCTCGTTCGACGAGATTATTGATGAGGCAAAAGACGGCCAATGCCAATGGCTCCAGCTCTACGTCAACAAGGACCGCGAAGTCACCAAGCGCATCGTGCAGCATGCCGAGAGGCGAGGCTGCAAAGGCCTCTTCATTACTGTTGATGCTCCACAGCTCGGTCGTCGCGAGAAAGACATGCGAAGCAAGTTTGACGACGTTGGCAGCAGTGTCCAGAGCACTGGCGGCGACAATGTGGACCGCAGTCAGGGCGCCGCACGGGCCATCTCGTCCTTCATTGACCCGAGCCTGAGCTGGAAGGACATCCCGTGGTTCAGGAGCATCACCAAGATGCCCATCGTTCTCAAGGGCGTGCAATGCGTCGAGGATGTGATCCGTGCCGTCGAGATTGGCGTAGAGGGCGTTGTCCTCTCCAACCATGGTGGTCGTCAGCTCGAGTTCGCCCGCTCGGGTGTAGAGGTTCTTGCTGAAGTCATGCCAGTTCTTCGCGCACGCGGATGGCAAGACCGCATCGAGGTATACATTGATGGTGGCGTGCGGCGAGCAACAGACATCATCAAGGCTGTGGCTCTGGGTGCCAAGGGCGTTGGTATTGGTCGTCCTTTCCTCTACGCCATGTCGGCGTATGGTCTGCCGGGTGTTGATCGCGCCATGCAACTGTTGAAAGATGAAATGGAAATGAATATGCGCCTGATTGGGGCTTCAAGCATTGCTGACTTGAATCCTTCTATGCTTGATACCAGGGGACTGAGCATGCACACGGCACCTGTGCCACAAGATACACTGGGCTTGAACGTATACGATCCGCTTGTCGGGCCAAAGGAAAAAGTCGTCAGAGAACAGTCAAAATTGTAGATGGCCATGGGCATGTTTGTATTATATATATACATGGGTGTGTTTTTTTAGAAGCGCATTGGAATTCAAATTGTATTCATCGGTTGGAATTATCATGCAGAGCACACTTGATGTTTAGGCGAGAGCCCAGCAGGCGGATTGCCCTGTTTGGAGCGTATGCGGAGCACGTGAAAACGCGTCCATGTGTGGAGAAGGACGACGGGGTAGATCCGAGGTGCCGATTGTCGAGCGTCCGTGAGTTTTGGCGTGCTCTTCGAACTTCAATGCGACAGGGATAACACTCATCACCCACCATTCACGTCACCGTTCTACACCACTCTATATCTTCGTATTGTACTTTGGTTGCCATCGCGCACTGTTCTTCATTTATTGCTTGTGTTTCTTTGACTTTATTCTTATTATGGGGGCTTCCGATACTTCAGTGGGACCCAGCGTGGGCTGGGACGAAGCGCAGTGTACAGCAGCTCTCGCTCAACTGGAACAGCTGCAGACGCAGGTATACATGGGTTGGCATGCCTGGCTGATTGAAAACTGACATTTTTGCAGATAGACGACCTTCGCCTGGCTATTCCACGGGTAATCGAGCCCTTTCATAGACCCCCAAATCCAACAACGTACAAGTTATACGCCGAGGGCGTAGTCTCTTCTCAGACTGGCCTCAATGCGCTCAAGGATCGCTGGAAGCTCCCTGAGGTACAGAACACATTTGAGTATGCCAAGCAGAGCTTTGGCGCAAATGCCGACTTGTCTGAGGCCGTCTCGGTCCCCTCCCACGGCTGGGTCGAAAGGGAGCAGGAAGCAAATAAATCTACAAGCAAGAGCGGAAGCAAAACTACCGAGGATACCGGCGCCGTGTTTGCGGATAGTGATATATCTCGTATAGTCGTCGAGTTTCGCAAGGCGCATCCGACCCTCAAGGTCGAGACAAACGACAATGACCATAGCATACAGGTAAGGCTACTACTTCGCTTGTATACTTCATTTTGCTCACTTTTTTTGTAGATTCGGTTCGTTGCCAGCTCTCTCATGCTCAAGTTCCGAGTCAATATTGAGCGTGAAGCAAACGGTCGTCACAAACTCAATGCAGATTGCCTTGGGACAACCGAATACTGTTTAGCAATTACGCGTTGTATCGCCTCACGGCCAAACAAAAACGACTTGGGATATCTACTGGTATGTTTGCATCACCACATGCACGTCAAAGACACCATGGATATCAATATATTGACCATTTTAGGACATGATTGCTGCATACAAGACTGTCAAAGGGTTATCTTGTGACAAATGTTCAAAGATGCTAGATAGTGCCGCCTTGACACCTACCGCGCGACGAAGCAAGCAAGTTGCTGCAGCAGATGAACGCCTGGATACAGTCTGGGTAGCACTCCATGAGAGCTGCCTCGAGTGATTGAAGCCTGCACCTGTTCGTTTTGAATCTTTACATAGTGAGAGTAAAGTCAAACGAGATGGCGAAATGGAAGCCCAACGCCGAACTCGTTATTCACATGGCCACCCAAAACCTGCGGCAGGTACTGAGGATCCTGGAACCAGACTCCATTCACTGTTCGCACCGCTTCTGGGTAATGATTCGACTTCCTGTTCTTGTATGGCTCCTGTTGCCAAATAGCATCTGTCCACGTCGACCGGTTTGGTTCGGCGTGTTTTCGGGTTCGAAAGTCATAGCTTAGGCTGTACTGTCGTCCGCCAAGCACGCGAGACTTGGTCCAAGGGGCGAACTTTTGCGAGTTGAAGCCGTACGTCATGCCGGACTCGTTAAGATGGGGATATCCGGCCCATTGAGATCGAGGGGGACGGCTGGATACGCAGTCTGTGGAACGAGCACCAAACCCAACGTATATATCAGGCCCAGTATTGCGGAGAATGTCTTTCATACGGCCCCACGATGATCCATTCTTGCCATCTTTTGGCCATATGAAGGCCTTCGAAGTCTTTACAGGTCGCAGTCTTCGACCGTCTTGATACCATCCTCGCTGGCAGGGATTGTACTTTGCTGTCTCGTGTCTGAATCCGTCAACCGTCTGCACAAACACGGGCAAGTTGGGTATGTGAGAATTGGTCATCTCGTACAGTAGGAAATGAAACTGAAACGACGCGTCTTTCTCTCTGGATGTTGCGGTTCACCAACACTCTTGAAGGGTTTATACAGTTGGGTGTTTGTCGGCTTAGGCTGCAAAAAATAAATGCGATTCATCCAGGTGGATTGCTATGGGAGGGTGACCAGCTTAGATGTTTGCGCATACTACTACCAGGAACACAGAAATGTTTTTATCCTTCCAGTTTACAATCACTCGTTGGTACAAAGTATGTTATTGTGATGATTTCTTGGAGAAACATGTTTCACCGTCTCTCAGCCCGGAACAAATATTTTTTTTAGGCCAAATCAGCTGATTTGATGAAAGCCACAATTATTGAAGACAATGATAAGG